ACAGTCCTAGCCTCAGGCTATTAGTGTGGTGGATCTATTTCTGTTTATATACCGCCCCTGGTTAATTCTGTTAACTTTATTGAAAGTTAAAATATGAATTTAAATAAAATTACTTGTGTTCATACTTTCTAATGCTATACGTGCACACATTCTATTACTATACTATATTCATCGCTATGCAGGCCCTCAAGCAACATCGAAACAGTAAAAGACTTGTATATTGTATCAATTTGATTGACACCCATACGACAGATTGATACACTAGATAAAAATGTTTTTTAATAGTTGTTAAAAGTATGCCGTCTACTCATACCAAAATATTATTTTTAAATAAAAAAAATTTGATCATTCCATACTGAATGAATCTTTTCCGTGTAATATCGTATCACCTAAAAAAGAAACAAAAATGAACAATGTCGTATACAAATATTAACCTATCGGACATTATAATTACACATTTTTCCGCGACATAACATGATGACATACTTGAGGATATTTTGGATGAGGTTATAGTCTGGTATATGTGCCGCGGTACTTGTATATTACAATGTCTGATTGGTTGATATTTCTCGGCGAAGAAAGAACAAAGTAATGTTCTATTTTATGTCTGTCCTTTGAAAAATGCAGTTATAGAGATCAACAATGATTATTTTGGTGATAATACGGTAAAGTTAACTGGTGGTCGGGTTTCGCAGAGAATAGCGCACTTGTCTTTCAAAATGACAGACGGTGTTCGTTTTACCGATTGGGCGTGTAGATATTGGATTACCTGCCCGTACGATTGGATAGTTTCTGGGTACTCCAGTTTCCTCTGACATTAAGCCTTTCTATGTGCTTCCGTCCAGGCAAACAAGAATGATTAATTAAAATTCGAAAAAGTTGTTTAATAATTATTAAAAAATAGCAAAGTTAATATCTAATCAATTAACTACCCTGTTGCCAATGTCAAAACACAAAACATGTAAATTGTGTTAGAAACCCACGTTTAATAAAACCTAACAGAACTGTGATTAGTTTTACGTATCATTTTGTCAACTATGAAGTCACAATTTCATAACGTCACGGACTTCCAATAATATAATGACGTCACAAAAGAAAAAGAATGACACATTTTTAAGAAGGTCAATAAAATAAAAATCATCATGAATCTCACATAAAATGGAATCATATTCATATTCTTAAATAAATCTATTTATGTGTTCTATGTAGCATTTCATATATTTGATTTTAGGGCTTTTTACTTATGGTGAAAAGACCTATTGTTTTTATAATGTTTCTTATTATTATTATTATAAACCATATTTTATTTCGTAAATTTGCAATTACAATATACAGAACATTTAATTATTACATACATCAAATAGGATCAAGAAACAAGTTATTAAACAATCTGTTTCCTCATTAGTACTCCTGTTCTTATTCTTCTGCCATGACTTTGTGGCCATCTAATCTTTTGTTTAGTACAAGATGTGTTAATAGTTTTTCAAGTGTATTGTAGGCCAAGGTCTAAAAGTGTGCATGCAGCTTTTTTTAAGTGTGTCGAAAATCCAATATGGCCGCCTTGACGTCATAGGTCAAAATTTTAAAACCACCGTAACTAAAGAAATGTTGATTATACAGCATTCATGCATTATACCATTTGCAGATATTACTTGGGGCTAACTTTTTCTCATAACATGTTATTAGAAAACATGTCAAATTAAAATCCTCCCTATCGGGTCAAAGGTCATCAATCTTAACTTTTTTCATTTTGAAAAAAATAAAAAACTTTTTTGCAGTCGATTTGAAATTCCATCCAAGTGAATCAGTCTTGAGGTTTTCGGTAACGTTTACCGTTAACGACCTACCCTATTTTGAATACTTACTTGAGCAAGTCTAATACACGCTGGTAATACTACATCAAATATTACGCACTCTCAATCTTAAAAGTATGGACGGTCTACATTTTTTACTGTGACGGGAATCTTCAGCCATACTTTAGCATGGCAAACCAAACCGATTTAAACAAAATGCCAGTTTGAATTCATCACCGTGATGTAGATAGTTGACGGACTATATGACTTTTACAGACTACCTTCGTATACAACATCACCCATTGGCTGCCTATATTAATCCATTCTTTGTCTGACCTCAGTTAGCATTCTGGGAATCCCCCCACTGCTCAGTCAGCTACTGTAGACTTGTGGAAGTTCATGCCTGATTTGGTATATTTGGTATAACTGAATTTTCATTGACTACAACACTGCACATTTTTCTTATTCAAAGTCACAGCTGTGCTCCTGCGAAATTTTTAGAAATATTTATTAATTGTCAGAAGCGAAAAACCATGATCAAACTCAAATCAGTCCTAACGGCCGGTGAACAGCCCGTCAAATTGTTAGCCTTCAATTTCCAGTTTTATCTATATTTATACCTACCCTTGGTTTTTTTTGGTTTTTTCAGATGCAACTGCTAATGCTGGATTGGATGATTTAGAGTCGAACATTGCTGCGAAAGGCTAGAATATTGGGTTAAACATTCCACGCATAAAATATCACAGATGTCAGATTACTTCCCATCGTCGTTATGACATCGTTCGTCTCCTGGTGAACTATAAGCAAATGTACTGCCTGTCGTGATATAGGAATGATACCATTCTAATTATTGACAGATAACTTTAGCAAGTATCGAAGTATCCTTAACAACGTTTGAAGTGGATATACCAAAAATGGAATTTGTGAAACATTCAGATAATCTGACAAAGGACATCAAAACAGAACTCAAGCTAAAGGAAGAGGAAGATCTGAAACTTGAGGCGGCCTTACAATCGGATTTGACTGAGGTAACGACGCTGAAAACAAAGCAACACCAGCAACAAGAGGAAAGAGTCAAGTCAATCAATGCACGAATGGAATTTGTCCTCAAGTCTGTTAACGACGTAGCTGACAGTTTTATATCAAATTTTCAGACACAAACTAAAAGTAATTGTGATAAATTACAGGATGCCATCGACGACATTTCAACAAAATTAGAAAAATTAAAAGATCACAAGAAAGTTGTTAAGCGTATCAGTTCCGACACAGATGATCTTTCAGCGTTGCACGCTTCACAGAAAATTGTGGATTTTGACAGAAGAAGAAAGCCGTTCCCTGACCTAACCGATATTGAGTTTACTCACGGGAAAGTGAATACCAATCAGCTGAAATTCATGTTTGGGGGCACAGCAGCCGAGATGGATAAACAAGCATCACTACAGACAGCCCAAGTGCCGTCAAATATGGCAGTATCTACTTACGATTTCGTGGGTACATACACAGTCAAACGTCAGGATAGGGAACTTGTCCTAGAGTCTACCTTCAAACATTCTGAGCTGCACGTGCATGAAATGTGAAACGGACCTTACGGGATGACATGGATGAGGTGTCATGGCGGACGGGAACTGGCTCTGATAGACAAGCAGGGACAGGAGCAGTTAACCTTGACCTTTGACTCTCACGTAAATGGTATGAGCACCGTTTATGACAACACACTGTTAATATGTGGTGTGGAGGATAGAGATATTAAACAAATCATACTGCCAAGTGGAAAGGTCACTTCAGTTTTCTCCATTGGGAAGCTGTATCCTTATCATGTATGTAAACCACCCAGTGGCGACCTCTACGTAACAGTTTTAGATAGTATTGACTACAAAGTCACCATTGACAGTGAGAGAGCACTGGTTCGGTACTCTCCACTGGGACGGGAGAAGGGTCGGGCTCGTTACGACAGAAGGGGGGATCCCCTGTTTGTTGGGCCGTTCAGAGTGAGGTTCAGTAACACAGAGGACGTTATAGGTGTGATCAATAACACAGACGAAGACAACAATCACCTGGTACTACTAAATGCAGACCTCACGTTACGATTACGGTATCTAGGTAACGGCAAGGTCGTATTAGGTGAGGAGAAGTTTGATACTACTACCTACAAACCGGAAACCAAATATGCCATCAGAGATTTTATCTTCCACTCTTTTGAAAATATCATTATTTGTGAGTACTTCAGTAGGTGTGTACGTCTTCTATCCAAAGATTGCGTCCCCATGTGTACCCTTCTGCAGACACAGGAACACATACCGATGTCCATGACCATGAACGGGGACGAGGTGTGGCTGGGATTTATTGACGGAACTGTGAAAGTTTACAAGGTAAGTAAGATGACACTTAACGGCAAAAAATACTGCCATAAAGTAGTCCAGTGTTGTAAACATAATTATATTGTGTGACTTCAGTTTCGTAATAAAACTTCAAACCAACGTCAGACTTCTTTTGTAACGTCGGACAAGCGTCGGTTTAATGTATTTGAATGCAAAGAGCAACACAAAGACAGATCATGAAAATATATACAATTTATTAAATACAAAATCACTAATACTCACTATCACACACACTCTCAACCCATGCACCCTCTAATCAGAATATTACAGTTCATCAGGACCACAGTCTGTTCAAGTAAAGCTTTAACAAATAAAATAGATACAACATATTTTCCCACCTTCTCTTCATACAACGTTCATACAATGACATCCTACCTGAAAATTAACCTAAGGCAATAAATAGCCTTGACACATATTACATATATATATTCTACACAATATCCATATATATTAACAGTTCTACAACATGTCGGTTCATTTATATCATCAAACTTGAATAAATTGTCAAGTTAAATATGGCGACTCAAGGCTGTCGTACTTTTTTTACATGGACAATACTGACTGGTCAGTATAACATTTATATGGACAATTTAACTCATTAAACATATTGTATGAGACTATTATAAACAATATGCATTATACATTACATTCTGATATAACTATATCAATATAAGCATCGAAATACAAACATATTAGCATGATGTAAACAATCAAACTACACCTGACCTATCGCTACGCATGAGTGGACCACACGTCAAGGTATACACTTGAAATGCATTTACGGGTGTCAGAGACAATCCAAGATACACATTAGTGAAGTAAGAGCAAGAGTATTATATAAGTTACTCACCACAGTCTGTATTGTGCCTGAATCCATGGAATATGTATGACACAGGTAATGTTTAGCACATCGCCATTACTACAGGTATACGTCTCGCGTATGTTACCTCCGGCATGTGCACTTCCGTTCTCTAGTGTACTTACCTGAGCTTAGCACCCACGTGTTACACATACATGTACAAAAGTAAACATAAACAATATCACCACAACACATGATATAATATATAATACTTACATGCGATCGTGACATCTATAGCTTTAATACAAGAACAAAGACCCGGATGTTTGCCGTAAAGTGGTCCAGTGTTGTAAAAATAAGTAAATCCTATGACTGCAGTTAGTTATAGTCATCTCAATTGCATCTATACATCATCATCACTTAATCACACAATATTAAAAGAATGAATTATGTGGTACATTGTTCATTTGCCAGCAGTACAAACGTGTGTATAACATACAAAGGGCATATTTGGGCGATAATCAAATATACCGATAACAGTACAGAGTTTTTTGTATTGTCATACGATGCCTTTAACACCTCCCTTCTTGTTTGTTTTTTCAGTACAAGTGATCTACTGCTGAACTTCAGATGGATGGTTGTATCATGTGATCATTTGATGTGACGCCTCGGTGACCTGCTGTTGTTGGTACATTTGTAGGAAGGCAATACTTTTATCAATTAATGGATCGCCCACTTCAATTATCATCATTTAAGAACCCTGAATGAATTCCTCCAATTACATCAGGTGAGGTACATGGAGTATAGTCCAGAGTGTTAGGAAAACGGAAAAAGTGACTAGTATTGTACGCTTGGTATAATATTGAAATGATAAAAAGCTATCAAGCTATGAAGAATATCTAAAACGGACTCTCATTGCATTTTGATATAGTGATGTGAAAATATATGTGTGCCATTGGATTATAATAATACGATAACGTGTATGGTAAAGTGTTTCTCTTTTGATATGCCTTACTTTGCGAACAATTTTGTCATATTCAGGCAGGAAAGACATAAAACAAGAACAACTCTATATAGTTTGGCTTTGAAAATATGTTAACGTTTATCATTTCAAAAAAAATGATTATTATAAATGAGGACTGGATTTTCCATACTTGAAAAGTTTTTTTCATATTTATGCTTTAAATGATGCATGGTCTAAAAATGCATGACATGTCGTCTACACCTATATTATAACCCTGGCTGATGTTGTTAATATTCCTTAAGAAAGCTTGTTTTTAGAATTGTAAGGTTACTTTTGGTAAAACGTACATCATGTATATGGACTTATGCTTAATTGCATTTCTTAGCGCAACACCATCACCTCTGTGGGGAGTGGACCGTCCTTTAACACTTCCTATTATCAATATTTCTAGAGAAATGCTAAAATATAATGTTCTGTTTTATTTTAAAACTGAGGAAATTGAAGAATGCTAGAAAACCGCTTTTTGTATTTTGTCAGTGCAATGCTGTTATTGCTTTTTCTTAAGAAGCAAAGGAGAGATCTTTCTCAAATTTCATTTTGAGGTTTCTCCTGGTTCATAGCTGTACATAGCTGTCACTTTTGAGATTGATCATTAAACAACAAGATTGACACTAGATTGCCGTTTTAGTTTTAAACATTTTAAATTTTGTAATGTCGCTTATTCTCAAGAAGTATTTAACTAATCTATCTCGAATTTTAAATATGTGTGCGTATGTTTGACAAAACAAAGATTTCTATTAAGCGGACGTTTGTTACTGTATCAATATTTCTCAGAAAATACTGGAGAGATCACTTGAAGTTACCATCTCATCTCCTTTTAATATTGCTGATAGTTTGGCATTTATAATTATCTGTTTTTATCGGCAATTTATTTGGCCACCATGAACATATTGTAAATTTAAGAAATAAACAAGCAAATTTGTGTAATTCATATCGCTTTAAGGATTAGTTATAGATGCAGTGTTATTGGTAAGAATTATTTGAAACATGAAATGCTAGTACGGAGAATTAAGAGCAGACAGAACAGAAAATGATTCTTAGAAATAGGACAGGACATGTTTTGGTTTTGTGTCTTTTGGTGTCGTTTGAAAAAAATGGTTGACAAATTAAAGACATGACGTGGTATGTATAAGAAAAAAACTCACAAAAGATGTGACATTTTTTTTAAATACAATAATATATATATGTAGCCATGTGTTCATACTTAAATAGTCAATCTAACCATACAGGCTTAATTAGTGGTAACTGCAGCAGTGCCACGGTTCACCAACTGTCTTCAAAAGCGATTTCCCCTCAGGATTTTACTATCATTTAGTTTATTGTTTAGGAAATGAAATACAAATGTAATGTCAATATGACAAAGTTACCATTAAATGTTAGAGATTTTGAATATCTTTACTTATCATTAACTAACTAATGAATGAATTGTTATTAATTATGCGCAAATTCCAACAGATCGCATTGACCAGCGAATGGAGCGCGAGACATTTAATATATATGTGCCCATCCAAATTTGTTAAAATACGACCATCATTAAGCAGACATGTAGTTATTGCAGACACCAATTACCCAATTAGAATATATACGTGTCTTTAATTATCAATAAATATGCACGGGTCATGTTGAGGAGTGAACGAAGTCTCGAACAAGGTAGTATGTATATGCACACCACATTTTGTTGAAATAGGACCATTAACGCACTTATTGCACGGAAACTAATTAGCCAATCAGAATGTATAAGTGTAATTTATTATGCTTAAATGTGCATGAATACCATTGACACGCAAAGTGGACGTGACAGAAGGACAAACAGTCGGACGGACAGGCCCACCTTATTATCCCCCGATTTTCTTCAAAGAGCAGGGGATAACATACTAAATAGCTTCTTCTTAGAAATTAAGATACAGATATTTCTCAAATTTCAGACGAAGGTTTTCAATGTTTTCTCTGTCTGCTTTTACGTTTTTATATTATATACATATGTTTTTTGAGGTTCAAATTGATTTCCAGCCCAGAACATATCATGACTCAAAAATCATAAATATATATCAATTATTATTATATTAAAAAGATCAAACAACAGCCTCACTTTGAAAAAAATGTCAAACATAGCTGTATGAAGTCTCAATCAAATATTTCAAGATGTATTTATTGTTGAAAAGACTCAATCCAACATAAGGTAAAAGTAAAAAAGAGTTTCGTATACCCAATGAATATCTTACGATGATAAGCGTCACAAATATCCTTATTGAGTTGTTCTGTGGAACTTTCACAGCTAGGATACTGTATAAACCATAATAAAAAATACCGAATTAGGATTTCTTCATATTGTACTTATTATTTTCTATTCCTGAACTTCAATGAAAAAGATATATGGAAGCTATTCAGTCTAAGGTAGCAAAAAACGTTATTTATGTAAATATTTGGGTGGTCATACTTGTATTCAAGTTCATAATTAAGCTGCGTTATTAGAAATGATTTTAAACCTTCCAAGGCAGCGAACACCCCATGAAATCGTATTTTAAGTTAAAATAGTTTGTACATGTTAGTACTATGACTGTGTTAACATAATAATACAAGTAGTCAAAGTAATAAGACTTTTGTGACATCGCTAACACAACGAGTTTGTGCTCTGATCTTAAACAAGCTGAAACACAGTAAAACTTACTGTACCTGTCAAAATACTTATTGGTAATAGTACAAATTGTACAAAGACTAACAGACTGAAATACTGCTGGTCCCATTCTGTACAATTTACTATACCTGTCAAAATCACTTATTGGTAATAGGACAAATTGTACAAGTACAAATTAATTTGTTAATAAACCTTCAAAATACCAACCAGTATAGTTTGTTTATGTATAACGTAATTGGCTGGATAAGTTAATTGCTTACATTCCAGAAAGAATTTTTGGAAACGAATCCTTAGATATTTAATTCCAGACCTGATAAATATATAAGGTGATTTATTTGTATATTGTAATGTAAGTGTGTGTTGTACCGAGGATTCATCCCGGGAGAAATTGTCCAATCAATTTTTAAGCTATGCCGATTGAATAATTTGTATTTAACACAGACAAGATTTTTTTGTTTACATATGTTTCATCTAATATTATTAAGATGTGACAATATGATACTTGAGTATATTGTTTGAATAATTGTTTTGTAATAATTATTTAATGAAAGCCTCTAAAACATGGATTTGTGGGGGGTTTTTTTTGTTTTTTGTTTTTTTCACATTTCTTAATGACATTAACCATTTGTGGACAATGTATTTAACAACTTATCTGATTGACAACGTATCCTGTTGCGAACTTAACGTTTTTGATCTATATACATTTTTATGACAAAACAAAACATTTGTTTGTGGACCATGCACACCATTTGTTTTGTAAACCAAGTTAACTACCTTTTTAAAGTTTATTACTATACATTTTTTTATATTTTGAATTCTCATTAGGTATGAAGTCAAACTGTGGTAAAAAAAAGCCCCACTTTATGTTTATTTTTATTTTGAAAATGACACTTAAAACAGTGTCCAACATAGTTAAAGTCTCCTCAAACACTATTTTGTTATTGTACGTCATCTTAAGTTTTCTTTATTTCAATCAAAACTGTTCTCTTGTTATTTTGATTTGTTTTTCTTTCCTTCTTTCATATTTTTCTTCGAGTTGTGTGCAAATGTTTGTTAGTAGTTTTGTAAATACAGAATAAAAGCAAAACATGAAATATTCCGATAATGATTACTTGGTTTGTTATAGCATCACTGAGTTGAAAGAAATAATTTCAAAATCGCTTTCAATCGTTTCGAAAAGTAGGAGATAATTTTGTTTTTCAGACATGAAATTAGTAATGTGTCAGAGAGTCCTCGCTGTAAATATAATATTAAAAATGTATGATAGATATGGTTTCAAAATAGTTCTTTTTGTATGTCTATATGTTTTCTTTGTGATATTTAACAGTATGGTGTTGCTGGACAGAAAAAGCCGAAATACTCCGCACGCACTTGCTATTTGGCACGAGTATTAGTGTTAACAGTTAATAGACCGGTATAGGGGATGTATCAAAAGTTAGGAAAATTAAACCTGTTTATCCAAGTGCGATCAAAAGGAATATTTCGAATACCTTTAACTAGTGTTGCAGTGTTTGTACATTGTATAAGACAGTAAGGTAATGGGCATGTTTATTAGCTGGTATTCTGTATCTGTGACCTTGTAACATAGTAATGTTTTAATGTAAAATGCATGTTGTGGTTAAAATATATATGTTCTCAATAACAGTGTGATTCTTACCCAAAAATTGCGTGCTATGTACAAGTTATGAATATATTAGTTAGATCTTCTGTGCCTCTAGAGTAGTTGAAAGGGGGGGGGGGTCAATGTTCCAAGTGTATAATAGAGTACAATGTAATGTTTAATTGAATAGTTTCTATCTAAATATTCCAATTTTTTTGGTGTTTCATGGTTTATGTATGCAAAAGCGTACCGTATATCTGTTTTTACTAACGTTTAACAGTTTCGATTTATGTTTAAGACTTATTGGTTTAGTAACCCTTCTGAATACGAGGGTGCTGTTTTCAGTTTCCCTTTAGCTTCTGTCTCTTTTTATACTTACGTCAACAAATATCATATTGTTTTCATGTCTCATCTATGTTTCTGACATTTTGGTTTTTTTTGTGCGGATGCTCATCCATTCTTTGGGTTTGCATTTTCTAATGTACATACTTACGCTATCAAGCTTGTCCTTGGTCCCAGTTGATCAAGGGAGCTTTTTTCCGACATATGGATAATCATATCTGTTTTAAGAATATCTTCAACTATCACTATATTGATTGTGCAAATAATGAATTTCGCTTAGTATCTTATTTACTGATTTTGTAAAAACTACTTGCTTTCTAGTAGTGAAATACACAGTCCGAAACTGTTACTGTTTTAAATCATATCCTGTAGCATACATTTGGACTGTAGAAGAATGTCCGGGGAATGATATCCCAGATCTATGTCCGTCAACATACATTTCATCTCTCTAAATATGATTTACAGTGTTAGACATCACGCAGGTGAATCGGATATAAAGAGGTTCCCTAACGAGTGTTAATTCCCGTTTGTAAGCAATTTGAAAATTTACTGTGAGCTTTTTTTCCGATTGGGGAAACAAATGGCAGGAACTATGACGCCACAATGGATATTACCCTCAAGTGGGTAACCACAAAAGATAACCAACTCCTAGTAGGTTTATCCAATGAGTCGGGAGTGAAGAAACCTATAAGTGGTTGTTAGAGAAATATATATTTTTCATATATCTGATATAGTGGTATTTTCTAGTTTTATAACAAACACTTTGCATAATATAGAACAGGCATAATGACAACTGTATCATGTGGAAATTTGATTCTCTTGATTCGTCGAATAGGTTTCAATAAAATAATTTTAGATACAAAATTTTGAACTTAATCAATTTCAAAATATCTATAAATCTGATCGTGAAAAAAGATGGCGTGCATAATTTTACATTTTATTTTCTATTTTGAAATAAATATTGTTACATATTATATATGTATTTCGTGTATGAATTGAACGTGTAGTTGTAGTATAGTTATACAAACTAGGGTTATATAATTGAGGAGAGCTATTTACTTCATATTAAAGTTACATGTTTACTGATATAGTAAAAATAATTGGCCTTATACAACAGCATGTTACCCAAGAGTTTGATAATTAATAAAGCTTTTATTTTGTTCAAACCTGAAGTTTTTCTTATTTATGATTTTACAAAGGGCTTAACCTAGCTCTTGGTGTTTTGGTTACAATGTGCGTGGTGTTTAAAGAACTTCAATTCAATCGAACATACACTTTTTGTTATATTTCTTCAGGACAAAATAAAGTTATTTTGAATCTTGTACAACCGAGGAGGACTCATGGACAGTGTATCACATTTAATTCTGCTGCTGCCTGAAAATAAGACATGATTTCTTTGAAATTGCCATCAAGATATCGCAGAGAAATATGCTTTTTCTTTGCGTGACTTTACGATGTTCCTGATTATGCCAATAAGAGTACATTGGGGTTTAGTTATCTCCACCCTAGTACTCGATGTGAGGACGTAACATTACTTGGACTCGACTTAGAGTTACAAGGTGGGTGTCACCGATGCAGCCGAAATACCTAGTCCTCTTTGCCTTATACGGTGTCAGGGGTCTCCATGTAAATCTATTCTTTGCTTATTTGTTGCCCTAGTTTTATCGATTTAAGTTCGAATTGAGATTTATTTTGAGAAACATTTTGGTATTCTCTTGTTGTCGTTTTGCTATTTTAGTTACTTTCAACATAACAGTAACTCTATCTGTTAATCTTGATTAGTTAACCAATACATTGTTTTGTAAAATCACCTGCAAAACTTTGTAGAAAAAAAAAACAGAAAAAAAACATAGACATGAAAATCTTATGGTTTCATATTAAGACACGATATAATAATACATCGACTCATCAGGTATAAACATCAAAATACGAAACTGATATACATTATGCGCATGCGGTAATACGATTAAAATACATGGTTAGCTAGTGAAAGGTTACCGTCGTTGACTTTATCACTTCACTTTATATCATGATAACGACTGTTTGTTCAGGTTGATTTAATCAGCAAGTTGTGCATGTGACAAGGGCGTTATCGGGCAAACTATGCATATTGATTAATAAAAGGCTGAAACGATCAGACGGCTGTCCAATAACATAGCTGATATACTCATCGGAAAACACAGAGAATACAATATTTACGTGTCATCAGGTATGTTTATATTTTCCTTAAGATGGTTATAATTTTCATGATTAATCAAACGAAGGTAGTTTTATCGATATCTTTGTAGATATGATATAAGTAGATTACATTTAACGCTGAAGATGGCTTTTCGAATGTTATCAATATCCACTATTTCCCCATTGTTGTATTTGTATTCCCACCATGATGGAAGGTGTGTAGGCGTGTGTTATATGTATAATATCAAACGCTTATTCTGTCTCTTTAATTGGTTTCCTATTTCGGTTTCCGCAGACCTTAATTATATTGACATTGATGAGAACTATGTACCGAAATCATTGGTTAGTTATCGCTACTTTCAAAGATGTGAATAATATCGCTTGCAGCTCCATTTCAGAATTTCGCATTAAATAATAGGGATTTTGTATATTTCATCTTTGACAAAAAAAAGCGTTTGTCATACCACATACGGAAATATTGTTGGATTCATGTCAATAGTCAACGTTTATTATACCAAGTACTACAAACTCCTTGCTTTACACTATAACAATAAGTACGAGGTACCCTTGAAGCAATTGTGACATCTGCCTTGCTTTCACCTGTATTAATAATAGTTTATATACTTCCTGCGTCACCCTAACATCTGACATAAGAAATCCTCCTTTAACAATGCTATATAAGTCATGCAGTCTCTGTCCGCTTATGTTCCAACAAGTGTGTGGTTTGATAGTTGTGCATGATTATTATTTCAAAATGATAAATAAGATTGTGTTGGTCTTTAAGAAGACAGTTGATGGATGATTTGTCTGTTATGTAAACACAACTGGACCCTTCGTTAATTGTTTTAGTCCAGTGTTCTAATGCTAATTAATTTGAAGCATGGATGTCCTTTCTGGAACAAATCCAGTGTAATTCTGTAGCCATTAAGAAATTGTTCCTGCGTTTTTTAAGCTAAACCCATCAAATCAATACCTGTTACCGATTTCTTAACTCCAATTTTATTAGCTGCGAACGCAGTTTATTATCACATAGCAAAATTAAAATTGGAACCTGGTCTGTACATAAGAACATAATGTTCTTATTATTCAAAACCTAACGTCCCAACTTAATTGTGTCAAGAATACTCATTAGCAAAGTGGCGTTACAAAGGAGATGGTAGACGTGGAATCAAAAGGCCAATATTTGAACAAAAATCAGGAATGATTCATACTAATCCTGTTAATGTGAAAAGCAGATTGTCATATTTTTTGTAATCAAGATGAGATTAGTGCAGCTCGCCAGGATTAATTATTTTGGCTCAGTAGTGTCTCGATAAGTAACCAAGGTCTTAGACATGTTCTTTAAATCTCATATGTTACTCATGTTTAATATCCTATCTACTCTACAAGACAAATAGATCATCTGTTTTTGTTAAGTGTTAGGAATTTGCACTTCCTAGTACACACGTACATTGTTTTTTTTATACTTGTATACTAAATTATAGCAAAGTACGTTAAAAGGAAAGTGTCCGTTTAAATGTCATTGTAACATTATTTATTTTGTTATACTTTCGTTTAAATATAGATGCTGATGTCAAACTGGTGGAACATTTTGCAGTCGGATATTGCTGTTTGGAACTAAAATAGTTGACGTCATGCCAACAATTGTAAATTCCATAGCAACAAACATGAGGGAGGACTTCACGATTATTCTTATTCTGGTTTACGAACACGTGATACATTTGTAGTTACCAAACCCGGGTATGTTATATATAAATGAACACAGACATTCCTTAATAACGTAATAACAAATGTGATTTACATGCCGTTAACACTACCGTAGTGTTTATGCTATTGTTAGCACTGGTTCACATTTTGATGATCACATCAGCTGGTGTCGAAGTATAATTCAAACGTGAGACGTGGATATACCAAATATGGAATGTGTAAAACATCCGGGTACCCCGATAGTGTCGGCGTGTACTACGTGTGATACCACTCTGGTTTGTTTGGACTGTATGACTGACGAACTACACCAAGGTCACGTGTTCGGAAAACTACAGAAAATTGCAATTGATATTAAAACGGATCTGAAGTCGAAGGAAAAGGAAGATTTTAAACTGGAGACGAGCTTGAAATCAGATCTGAATGAGATAAGGTCGCTAAAATCACAACAGGAAAATATACAAAAAGAAAGGGTCAATTCAATTAACACACTAAGGGACGTTCTAATCGGGGCCATAAACAAGATCGCGGATATCTTAATATCGCAGTACGAGACTCAAACTCAATGTAATTGTTTTAAACTGCAAGACGCGATCGATGATATTTCGGTAAAATTGAAAGAAGTGCGACGACACAGAAAGGAGGTGGAACGCATCCTTGATGAAAAAGATGATCTAGTAGTGATACTCGATTCACAAAAACTTAAAGATTTTGACGGACAAATAAAATTATTACCAGACTTAGACATTATCGAGTTTATTATCGGGAAAGTAAATACTAAACAGCTAAGTCTCATGTTCGGAGGTACAGCTGCCGAGATGAATAAACTGGTGACAGCAGAGGAAACTGATGTTGTGGCAAATATGACACTTTCTATGAATCAAGGGTCCGATTTCGTTGGTACCCTCATACGTCAGGGTAGGGAACTTGTCCTAGAGTCTACTTTCAAACATTCTGATTCACATTATGTGCTTGATATGTGCAACGGCTCTCAGGGAAAGACATGGCTAAGATGTTGTAACGCAAAGGAAATATCCCTTACGGACAAACACGGACACGTACAGAAATCCGTGATATTTGTCTCCAATGTGAGAGGTATAACAAACGTCACTGACAATGAATTGTTAACGTGTGGGTTGGAGGATAGAGATATTAAAAGGGTCATACTGCCCAGTGGACAGGTCACGTCAGTCTTCTCTACTGGGGGATTGATTCCTCAGTACATGTCTACAACACCCAGTGGCGACCTATATGTGACACTGATGGATAAGCGTGACTACAATGTTACTGCCAGTAGTGAGAGAGTACTGGTTCAATACTCCCCACAGGGACAGGAGAAGGGCCGGGCTCGTTACGACAGACGGGGAGATCCTTTGTTTGTCAGGCCGTTAAGGATGAAGATCAGCAAGACAGGTGACATTTTAGGAGTGTTAAATTATACAGATAAAGATAACAATCATCTGGTTCTACTGAATACAGACCTCACGTTACGATTACGGTATCTAGGTAACGGCAAGGCCGTATCAGGGGAGGAGAAGTTTGATGCTACTACCTACAAACCGGAGACGAAATATGCAATCAACGACTTCACGTTTTACTCCTTCGAAAATATCATCATCGCTGAGGGCTACAGTAGGTGTGTACAGCTGCTGTCTAAAAACGGTGTCCTCATACGTACCCTGTTACCGACACAAAGATATACACCGCTGGCCCTGACGATGAATGGTGACGAGATGTGGATTGGGGTAAATGATGGTATTGTGAAAGTTTACAAGGTAAGTTATTCCCACTTCATTGGTATCTGTACAACATAATCTTTTTACGATACAACACATCTAGGAAGATACGTCTTCTATATTTTTTAAAATTGTGAGGCAGATGTATTCCTGTGTAAGTGTATTAAAGATATTTCACTTCATGAAGGATAAAAAGTCGTTTACATTTTGCATGGCACTATAATATATTTACTCCTGGAAATTCTATGGGTTATGTTCATTTACGTTCTCTGCTAATTAAAGTTATGTTTACCAACCGTACAGATGCTTGTTAAACATAAAATTTGAATACATTTTTTTATCAACCGTCAGGGTTTAGTTTATTGTTAACTAACTATCTACTTCATATGACATACTGCATCAATGCAACTAACAAATAACCGTCTATTTCTTTTTTCAGTGCAAGTGATCAACTGCCGCACGCCGTACATACGCTTATAACACGTGACCGGATGTGTCGTTTTGTGTGAAGTGCAATTGCTGCTGTTAAAGGAGACGCCATTGTTGATCAGTTAGTTATAACTGCTATTTAGAATAATGTGATTTAAAGAACTCCGCTGTAATGAACTTTTCAGTAACAGCAGGTCATGTACATTAATTATTAAGAATTTTTCAAAATGGCTACTGAGACGAAGCAAGGGGGACTGGTTTTGTAAGCTTCGTCATTGTGTTTACAAACCTTCCAATTGTGATATTGAAAAGAGGAATTGTTGGTAACAAAGAAACCGCTAACAGATCCATATTACATTTAGCCCTTCTGAAGCCACATTGTCTGTTACTTTGAAATGAAATAAATGAAAACGAGTTTGATATGTTTCTCGTATGATATGCTTAAGTATTTAACGTGGTGTGTCATAAAATCAAAAAGGAAAAACATGGATAAAATCAAAACTCGTTCGGCAAACAATAGAACTATTGATAATTTTGAACCAATTCTCAAATCATATAAGTTGTACGAAACAAGTTTCTGATAGCGGAAATTATTTAGTATGTTTTTGTTTTAACAACAATTGATTTTCTTTGATACAACCACATGAGACTCCGTTCATAATTGGAAAGTGAGTAGTCTTGATTGTTATCTAATAGCAAATTAAGCAGTTTTGATTTTTATCCTCCTACACTTACTTAACTTAACATGCCAATCTTGTTACCGTCCGACTGTTGAATGGTCACGTGATTAGCTAGTCGACTATTGAAATGACCACGTACGATGTACATTATTCAATTGTAACTAATTTTTTCAAACGCCCCGATAACTATGACAAATAATGCAATGTGTTTTTTCCGAATTTACTAAATGATGGAACGAATTGAAGTTATTAATACTCAATATTTGTTGCGATAAATTAAAACCCGTTACTCAGTAAGTATGAAAATTATACATGTGTAGAATTGTGAATGCAAACTGCTTTTAAATGGTGATTTCTTACATACCATTTTGTTCAATTGGCATGTTGGTCGAGTAACAAAATAGTTGTGTCCTGCCTGGCCTGATCAAACAACAGTCGTGCGGCCACGCAATAATGAACTGTACTAAACGCATTCATTTGTGTGTAAATTAAATCCATGTTCAGTTAATCATGATCAGGTTCATCATATCACCGATCTCAACAAAAACAATGCCAACCAGAAACTCAATCATTATCACAATAACGTCCTCAGTATAATTCATTTTGACTTTTGTTATTTGGTATTTTTCACAAGATATGCTACAAAATAATTTACAACTTTATAATTATATTCTCATATGAATTAGTGTGAAAAGAACACTCTTATAACAAGAGAATGAAGGTGTACCTTCAGCTTGGTACGAGGAATGGTATTATATAGAGTCCAAACATTAGGAAGAAGGAACTTTTTTCAGAAGAGGACGTTCACGATTGACAAAGCTGTTTGAATTCTTCAAAATGCACTTACCGTTTGATTCACTTCTTGAGTATACAGTATCACAATACGACTGCAACCCGGATTTAACGGTATTCAGAGTGGTAGGTAGAAGTTTTAACGGTACTCAGAGTGGTAGGTAGAAGTTTTAACGGTACTCAGAGTGGTAGGTAGAAGTTTTAACGGTACTCAGAGTGGTAGGTAGAAGTTTTAACGGTATTCAGAGTGGTAGGTAGAAGTTTAACGGTACTCAGAGTGGTATGTAGAAGTTTTAACGGTACTCAGAGTGGTAGGTAGAAGTTTTAACGGTATTCAGAGTGGTATGTAGAAGTTTTAACGGTACTCAGAGTGGTAGGTAGAAGATTTAACGGTACTCAGAGTGGTAGGTAGAAGTTTTAACGGTATTCATAGTGGTATGTAGAAGTTTTAACGGTACTCAGAGTGGTATGTAGAAGTTTTAACGGTACTCAGAGTGGTAGGTCGAAGTTTTAACGGTATTCAGAGTGGGAGGTAGAAGGTTAACGGTACTCAGATTGGTAGGGAGAAGTTTAACGGGACTCAGAGGGGGATGTAGAAGTTTTAATGGTACTCAGAGTGGTACGTAGAAGTTTTAACGGGATTCATAGTGGTATGTAGAAGCTTTAACGGTACTCAGAGTAGTAGGTAGAAGTTTTAACGGTCCTCAGAGTGGTAGGTACCCCCTCTAACGGTACTCAGAGTGGAAGGTAGAAGTTTTGATAATGGATTGTTGAGGAGCTAGAAGTCGTCGATAAAATATTGTTTATAAGGATTCCAATAAGTTTTGGAATTTAATACAAATGAGGGAGGTTTTTATCATTATTCGGTATGGTAAGATTGTAATACAGAAGCGTGATTTGCTAGTATTGCGTTTTTCGAAAAAAAGGAAAGGGAATCTGTAGGATTTCATTGGTTATCTAGCAAGCCTAGTTCTGTCTGAAAGCAGGTAATGTGGTTGCAGAAAAAAAATATTAGATATTTTGTCTGCAGAAACAACTACATGCTTATCATTAAAGATCGTTGAGAAATGAGAGTGGTTATAAAAGAGCTAAATTTCGAAAGCCAGTTGCTGCATAGTAATTCTGCTTTTAACCAAAATCGTGGGGCACAACACACTACCGTAACTTTGTTTTTATCTCGTTAAATTAGCACACATATCACGGGGGATTTAAGAGGAAATATTTATCTTTTTCCTTGCAGCTTTAAACTGTATTTTGCCATGTGAGAGTGCACTTGTCCGGAAAGTTGATGTTCGGATCGTAACAAACAGCATACTGTGCAAATATATAGCTAATCAGTCTGATATGAGCCTGACGTTTAAGGACAGTAACGCCGACCTGGGGGATCGGACCCCAACCGTCTATATGGAAGACTGGATTAAACATTGCATTGTAAAATACCAATAATAGTGTTTATTGTTTAGGTAAGTTGAATCCGTAAATCAGAAACTCTAGAACACAGTTGAAGTTAATTCCAACGACCACTCATCAAAATAACTGATTGAATTATTTTATAATTAGATATTAATCCAATAAACATCAAACTTCACAGTTCAACTAATTTTGCTGCAAAATGTTGGTTTGATTGTCTGCATTGCATTGGCGTCTTTCAATCAAAGGTTTAGATGATATAATCGCCATAATTATTTTTTTAAGTTAAATTTTGAACAACAAACTACTAAAAACGAAACAAGATGACCTCGGCGGATTTTGCAATCATCAGATGTGATACCGCGTTTGCAAATTCGGGCATCAACCGAATCAGTCGTCAGAGCTGATACAACACGTCATTTAGCCGATACGGAGCCGTATCAGCTTCAGGTAGAAATCCAACCTGCCGTATCAGCTAAACTGGCCGTATCACCTTAAACGATAAACCGTATCACCTTGTTAGTTGTACTGAGCGGGGTTCTTTTACAAAAGAATGTGACACTGATTGAATAACAAGGCTGCACCAAATCGAGCAATGACCCCACTGTCATTTGCACGATGGCGTGCGCCTCAGGGGCTGTAATAAGTGGGGAGGGGGAACGGAAGACAAGTCCACAGGTGTCTGGCAAGCGTGCTCACTGGAGCATAAATCGATAACAGCTACCAATCCTCTTAGCATTCCTCAATAGGTGATGAATTTTGAGGAAACAACTGGAAGACTTGAAAATCAAACACTTGATACAACTATGTATTAATTTACTAACATATGATTGCATTTGACACAATGAAACATTTGTGTATTCAGTTAATGATGGTCGCCATGTTGGATTGTGTAAAATATCCGGATTTACATTTTTGACAGGAAGAAGAGCCCAGATAAAGTGCGGTTTTAATGTTTGATCAGATTTACTGACAACAATATTTAATACAGTTTTAGAAGAAATATTAACTCGTTGTATTGAAATATTTTCTTTGTTCATAATAGTAAGTGTCAGATGATTTTTTGATGTTTCCCCCCTATATGTAACATTAACAACAGATATTTATTATAGTCATATACATTTAAACCTTCCTATTATACAACCGTATACTATACAGTCACATAAAGATTATCGTCGTTGACTGTAGCTAAAACCCTGACATATTTCTTAAAAATGTATAGCAAGACCCTGTTCATCAGGTGAAATGTAAGAGAAAGTTAAACTTATATATGCTTCAGACAAGGACAAAGGTGTTTTATTGGGATCTACTACTACATACATATGTTTACGCTATATCATGTCGCCTGCGTTTAAATCAAATGATAATACATGTATATAGTGTCTAATTATTTTAAGTCCAATACGCAGGTGGAAATCTGTGCCATTTGCATAAATCCGCGATGGAATTTTATCTCTTGTAAATCAAATACTGCAAATACTACTTTTAAGTTCCTGATAAAAAAGATCAAAATCTTGTGCAATAATTTCATCGCCGAACAACTTCAACAATCAGAAGCTAGAATTCGCCATATATTGCTATATACGACGTCATAGTATTGGGGGATTAGCTTAAATTAAGAAGATGTACAACTCTGATAAGTCAAACAAATCCTGTAGTAAACGTTTTTCTTAAACTCTTTTTTAGCAAAAGGAGTTAAAGGCATAGCAGAAAATGCAATAAAGAATTTCATAACATAATGTACTGTGTAATCCAGTGAATATATCCATGTCAAATTTTTTGCATCTTAGTCCATGCTTTATGACCTGTGATTGGCTGTACGTTTCAATAAAAATTGTCGTTTTACACTAATAAATGCCACACACTCATGTAAGATCCTAGATATATGTTCGTGCGCTCCTTGTTTTGTGCAGTAATTTGTCAAATAAATTAATAATGGCGACACAATCTTGATTTAAAGTGATCAATCTAGTGTCAACACAAAGAATAGGCATCTAGTTTTTTGACACATTTTTCAGATAAGTGTTTGATATTAAAATTGATCATACTTTGTTAAATATTACAAACACCCTTACACGAAATCAAAACTAGACTTGAACGAGATGGAAACCTCATAAGAGTACATTCTTAAGTTTTGAAAGAAAAACGTTACACACATGCAATTGCATCTATAAAACATCCGGTACAACCACAAATACAAAACTGTTCCACATAATGTTATATCTATAGATATGATCCACGAGCTACTGAAAAGGTTTCCGTCGTTGTCTTTATCACTTTGTTTATCTATCTTTGTGTATTCCATACGAAAGCCGATTACGAGTTACTCTATCTCGTTATAACGAATTATGCAATCTCGTTATTACGAGTTACGCTATCTCGTTATTACGAGTTATTACGACATTAAATATTTCGCTATTACGAGTTATATCATCTAGTTACGACAAAATCAAGTTAAGCTCAAGTTTAGTACATTCCACATTAATTTCTATGATCATGGCAGAATAAAGTTATGTTTATCCTCATC